TTCAGCATTGTAATTTGAATTTATTCCATCAAGTTATCATGTCATTCCATCAAGTTATCATGTCTAGCGAAAATCACAAACCAAAATTACATTATCAATCATAAAGACGGGAGCAGGTCATTTCATCCCACGACCGTTTCCCCCCGGGCTGTTTCATCCGGGCTGTTTCATCCCAAAATGACACGGGTCGTTTCATCCCACAAATCGATAAACAAGTTTTACGTATTTTTAATATTTTATTCATACATTTATAACAATAACAATGTGTCATGGCTCTTTTAATAATACTATTTGTATCATTTCATACATAAATCAGTTACTTTGGTTTCATTAAATTTCATACATAAATCAGTTACTTTTACTTTGGTTTCATTAAATTTCATACATAAATCAGTTACTACGGCTTTTATAAATAAATCAGTTAAATGTCTATTTACGGCCATATAAATTGCCTGCTAGCTTTAAAAAAGCACTCGTAATTGACCGATCTGTATATTTCCCCAAGGCTTCAAAAATCTTAGCATTGATTTTACAATATGTTTTCCTGCAGTTACAAAAATTGACCCCATCTTCAACCATTTGCCACTGGATATCTATCAAATCTCCCTCTTTTAAAATGGGTATCAAAACATAAAAACTCAGACCCGCTCCCATACACTGTGAATTTAGACGTCTGTGCCATCCTGAAATACATTAATCTCATATTAAAGAATATGTAAATAATATTGAATGTCACCATGTAATAAGAATATTCAATTAAACTATTAATGACTGTAATATTGAATGTCATAATGTAAATAATATTGAATGTAAATAATATTGAATGTAAAAAAATTGTTACCATAGATTTATTAACCTACCTCTTCATAATCTGCAGATGTTCTTCTTGTCATCATGATGAAACACAGCGGCACCTGTTTCATACAGTCCCCTTTTTTCATAAAACCATGTCTAGTCCATAACTGCGAAAAAGGCTAAAAAAAATAAATAAATATATTGGATTTAATATCAATAAATTAAATAAATAAATATAGTGGATTTACTATCAATAAATTAAATAAATAAATTTGATTTACTATCAATAAATTAAAAGAAATAAATTCGATTTACTATCAAGAAATTAAAAGAAATAAATTCGATTTACTATCAATAATATTTAAAGTCAACTCACCTGTATTGCATATTCGATGCTGCCAACGATCACATATGTCAAATGTCACAGAATGTTGACGAGGTCTAACTACGGTCGAGCAACGAATACATAGATCAGCCATGGTGTAAATCCAAAAGATGAATGATTATCTTCCAATTTCGGATCATATTTATAGCTAGATAAAGCTTTAGATCAAAGAAATTAATTTTAATTGTTCATTTATCTGGCTTCTAACTTAAATGTGTAAATACAACTCAGCTCTCGCGTAATGTTTTTATTACTAATCCAAAACCATTAATTGCGTGTTTATTTAATAATAAACAATAAAGTACATGTTTATTTAATAATAAACAATAAAGTACATGTTTATTTAACAATAAGTAAGTGTTTAACAGTTTATTCGACAATAAATACAACTCAGTTAATTAACTGCTATTATAATAACAAGGGGGATGAAACAGCCCGGGATGAAACAGCCTGATAGAAAATTAGGTTGGGATGAAACAGTCCGGGTTGAAACGGTCGTGGGATGAACTGACCCGCATCCCATAAAGACGACTCTCTGTACATAACTTTCTAATGAGAGAGAGAGAGAGAGAAATGGGGTTTAACGTCCACTCGACACAAACTAGGTCATTTCGGGACTAACATATGGTTTAATTTTATTTCAATAATTCGCTAGCGCGTAGGGGTCTTTAGCACTGGGAGGAAACCGGAGGACCCGGAGAAAACCCACAAGGTTGGACAGGCGACCCTACTCCTTGTCACGTACAACCGGGGAATCGAAACCCCGCCAGTTGACTCAATGACAGGCTTTATGATACAGCACGCACGTGCTAACAGTAACCATTCGGCCATCCAACCCCCCAACTTTCTAATGACCACATGTTCAAATTAAATGTAGCAAAAAATAATTCTATTGCTGAACTAATATATAAACGGAATAACATGAAAATCTCATCAAATGTTGAAACTATTTTGGATTTAACTCGCCACAATATACTTCTTGCTGGTAACATTATCAAAATCTGTTTGTCTTATTGAAAATATTTTACTGTATTCAGTATTGTTGCTCCAATTGTCAGAATTCCCATAGAATCATAGAATGAGTCAAATAGGGGAGACCGGGGAACATTGAACCAGTTTTTTCACATACATGGTTGTCCTCCTTCCATATCAAATGTTTTTATTAGAAGATCTCTTTACTTTATTGTATTGTTTGAAGACATATCATAGTTGCTATTGTGTATCAGATTCAATTCAATTAATTTTTAACTTTTTTTAAAAAACACATTTTAATCCACTTGACCATAATTGTTCAATGTACCCCGCTGTACAAAATAGTTGGGGCAGGTTTAACCACATAATGGAGCACATTGAACAGTGGTAAAAATTCCATGTTAAACATAGATCTGGATATGGATCACAAACCTAGTCACTTGTTTCGTAGTGATCTAATGAATCTGCAAACAATCAGTGTTTAGTTAAGAACAAATATCCACAGATTTGACATCCGTGCAACGATCGCCGTAAATTGCACTCTAGTTGGCAGTTTGGTGGGATATAGTGGGATCCCAGTCAACTTTTGCAGTGAATCAAACTAAAATTTGTCCAATATTCTGTCTAAATTTGGACAGCCTGATTTGCTGACAAGCGACTCTTAGTCAGGGAGACCCATAGCGCCCCTGTATGTCACAGCCAAGTTTCGAACACTGCTCCTATGAAGTTTTAATTCCTTTTAATGACAGGCCTACAGAGTTGGATCAATTAATATTCTAATATTGTTTTCATTTTCAAAGGTATTACAAATTATCAAATGATATATAAACTATAATACACCGGGGTACATTGAACCAGTGGTTCAACGTACCCCATTGACAGTAGTTCAATTCAATCTGCCACATCACAGTTTTATGATCAAAATTTTTAAAAAAATTCAAAATGGATCAAGCCCTTGTTTATCTGGATTGTAGATATGAACTGATTGTAAGTACAAGAATTTCCTAGTCTGAATAAATTATCATATGATATACAGTCTATAATGCACTGGGGTACATTGAACCAAGGTTAAAAATACCCCATTGACAGTGGTTCAATCTACCCCTTCACAGTTTCCAGGGGCGGATCCAGTAGACGTGGTACAAGGGTTAATCAGCGAACTGGATGTATGAGATGTGTTGTTGACGTTTGGGAAAGTAGGACGAGGGGAAATGTGTAGGGAGTGAAGTGCTGTAAAGGGATAGTTAGATGTATTATGAATGGTTAGAGTGGCTGTGGTGTTACGGTGAAATATTATGCCGCCACCGTAACACCACAGCTTTATGATTTGTTAGACAGGAGTGATGTAATGGGTGTCAACAACTGGGTATGCTGGTACCGTCGCAACGTAGCCGTGAAATATATATTGTGGGGGGGGGGGGGGGGTAAGGGCGGAAACGGAAAAATATACAATGTTGACAGTATGTGCCAGGCATGAGGCTGCGCAGACCGAGCGGCAGCTCGATAGGGAGTGTGTGGGAGGGTCACCCTCATAAAAAATTTTTTTTTTAAATTTCAGTTTTCTGTAAGCAGTGAAAACACTATTTTGGCATTGTTTGCGGGGTTAAACCTAAAAATCACATTAATACACCTATTGCACGATATTGTGAAACTAGCTGACGAAGACAGCTCGGGCGGCGATTGTTCGACTCGGGGCTGCTCTGTCAGTATCTACCAAACGCATTTAGTTCGCGTACAACTTTTAAAAACCGAATGTCAGTATGGTATTTCTCACATAATTGGTTATCGCAAAAACAGAGTAAACTAAAAGCGAGTAATCTCGACTCAAACCTATAGTCTACTTACTACACTCGTCACTAGGCTTCCTATATTATTGTTTGTGGACGGTTTACTACTCAGTGATAAGCCTGCGCCGCAAAAAGAGGTCTCGCCTTTTATTATTAGTATAATGACTTCCTCATGTGCGGCAGGTTAGTTTGCTTCTAAAAACACTGTTTTCTGTTCCAAAAAATACAAAAGTAATTTTCTACCAGATGACCATGGTTCTTTTCACCGAGACTAGATAATTTCTCTCTGTGTAAGGATATAGCTATGGATAAGTTCATACAAGGTCAATAAATCCGCGGTCACTTCGGGTCACACTGTTGAGAAAATAAACCGATGGGTTTGTTTAGTAGCAAATCGAGCGTGAATCAACTGAGTTTGTACTGAAAAATTCTTGAGTGATATGTATGAACTGTCTTCACACATTCGGTTTATAATTAGCGATACACAGGTACAGTGGCAAGTGTTGTACTTCACAGACTGTTTACCTCCGAACTACCTCCGCACGAAATCCCCGATTTGGGTACTTGTTAAAAGAAAAAGAAATAGTACCTGTGCGCATGCCAGTAAAAAAAAACCTAAGAGTTCGCGCATAAAAATGCCCGAACGTACCAGGCGCCAGGTCATCCAGAGAGGGGTTTGAGGGGTTTGACAGAGTGGAAATGGTCAAAAATAATGTAAATATTGGAAACAAAGCACACTACTGGATCTTGACCGATCTGTAGAATATACACCCACAATTCTAACCCTAACCCTTCAGAATAGTTTTAGCCACAATCCACCGTTGTTACAGCTTCAATTTGTACGTTTGACATGTAATTTATAAACCTAACCCGAACCCTAACCCTAGAGAAGATATTCTCCAGATGGCACAAAGATCTAGTATTATTCGGAAAGCAGTACTAAGTAGCTATGGATATCCACTGGATAACGGAGAGAAGGTCAGACTCCTGTGGCTGTGGATTGACTGGCATTCGCCTACCATAGGCTAGTTGTTCACTGGAAACTAAAATCGACCTCTTACCTAAATAATTTGATATTCGCCGTCAAACAAAACGAAATCTTCGTTCTTTGGTAGTGCTGAACGCCGGCTTCCACCGACGATGATATCGCAGACAAGAAATCAAATGTTCCTTTTTGTGCAAAACCAATCTTCATCAAGTAATATTTGCCAAAATCCGGTCTCGACCATGTCGTAAATGTAAAAGCGCACGCCTACGAAGACACACTGAACAGCAGTGAATATTCGCTAGGTCGCTACAATCACTGATAAGGATGACATCAATGCGACTTAACGAGTCTCAAATATTAACTTTTTTCCACCGACAAATTAAATTCTAAAACATTTTTTTGATGTATTAGAAAAATAAATAAAGACGTTTGACGTATTTGTACTTTAATTTGTAGGTAAAAATTAGTTCCTATTTAGTGTAAATCATGGGTATTAAAATGACTAAAAGGCAGCATTCTGCCCGAAGCAGTATAGAGAGAGAGAGAATTGGGGTTTAAACGTCCACTCGACACAAACTAGGTCATTTCGGGACTAACATATGGTTTAATTTTATTTACATAATTCGCTTGCGCGTAGGGGTCTTTGGCAGTGGTAGGAAACCGGAGGACCCGGAGAAAACCCATTCAGCCCAATCTGTTTCACAGAGAATTACGAGTCTCGTATAATATCTCTGTCATAGATGACTGCCTTAACACGTGCTGTCACAGCACGCGGTGTGATTCATTGGCTGAATGGCGTGTGCATTGTTTACATAAGACATAACTGCTTCGGAGAGAATGCTGCATTTTAGTCATTTTAATACCGGCATATGTTCTGTTTCTTATCTAGTTGTGTTTGGTACCTTGTTAAACGCTGTTTCATGTTTTGAAAGAAAAATATTGAAAATATGCTGAATTTGCCTTCAATTTGGCAATACTCCCAGGGCGGGCCTTATTTTTGGAATATATATACAAAAGTGGTTTTAAGTTATGTCTTAAGACCCAATGAACAAATTCTCAAGTGGACGTGTTTGAGAACTGAGTATTTCAAAAATATGACAAATTAGAGTCCCCCCCAAAACTCGGGCAAGGTGGTAATAAAGAATGAAAGTTTTGTTATTTTTCATCACAATTAAAATTTCTCCAGAAGATCTTTCTTCTAGTGTCATCTACAAACATTTTTTTCTAAACCAGCAATTACGTCATCAGAAGCATCATTTATCTATCCCAGCTCTTTAAAAATTGTTAGAAAGTTGGGATTATCTTGAAAAAGAAAGACAGATTGTCATTACCACTTAAAGCATGTACTGTAGGCCGAGATATTCTCGACACTTTCAATACTAATCTTGATTGGATCAAAAAATATCAAGATTAATATTGAAAGTGTCGAGAATATCCTGGAACTGACAACCAACCACGAGGACACCAAAATATCTTACCTACTCCTCTTCGCATTGCAAATTAATGGAGGTACCGAAACAAATTGTATTTTGCATTCTTGCTCGGGCGAAATAGACATCCCAATCATTCTCTTCGCAAACGATGATCCAAATATACAAATTTTGATCGATAATGAGATGGGCAAAGGTAGAAAATATCGCGAAAAACGACTTACATCACTAGATGACGCTAGAAAAAAGATTTTCTGGGTGAAAAAATTACAGACCTTTCTTTATTACCACCTTGCCGTATACGTGGTATTTTGCTGCATGACTGGAATGAAGATTTACAATGTGAATTGGTCCCCGAAGCATATCCAAAGGATATGCGAGCTGTTGGCCAGCAACCAAGAAAATATTTATCTCGCTCATATGAAATTTTGATTTTGAATCTTCTGATGAAGACTAAGAATAAACTAACAACTAAACATATCTCTGAGTTAATGTGTTTTTGATTTACATTTCCAGATCTCTTGAAAAGTACCATTATAATTTAATATTTTGAACGAAAACGCTAACGAGATACCACTTTAAGCTCAATTATGAACAAAATGCGTTCTGTCCACAAAAACACATGTTGCCATCACACGCACCGCCACCCCAGCCACCCACGGCGGGTAGTCACCTCCCACGGCGGGCACTCACCCCGGCGACACCCCACACAATAGGAATCTTATAAACATATTTAGAGATGTTTCATCAAGCTCTTAGAAAATCATCATTTAAATCAACGTGAACTCATTTCCCCGCCAATTTTATCCCCACCCCACCCCTCCACACGCACACACCTGCTACCCCACCCCACCTCCCGATAAATCAAAACAGTTGTCCAGAGGCATCGTAAACACTTATTTATAGATGGTCAGTCCTAGAAATTTATGTTTTATTAATATATTATGTCAACATAATGACATCCCCTCCCCCCCCCCTCATTGTAGACATTTGACCCCCTATATCTCGAAAACGCCCCCTCAAAAGCCTGATCACCACCCAGATTCAGAATCTACGCAAAAACTGATATAGAAAAACTTGGTCTCACAAATTCACAGCTCGGGTGGCGACCCCCCCCCCCCCCTTCAGCCACCGGACTATACCTGTTGTGTAAATTATCCATTAAATCCTATTTTACTTGTCCAGAGGGTTCAAAAATATTTTTAAATCCAAGTAACATTTGAAAAGCTTTACGTCAGGCTTTTCAAATCATTTAGTTGAATTTTTCCAATTTTTTAAATTAGGTGTGTTAAGATGAAATTTGTATCATCAATTAATTGGAATATTGTATAATATAGTACAAGATTGGGACATATTATTCAGTTACAACAAAAGTGGTATTGAGCCTTTACGCAGAGATAAGCAATTTGATTGATTGATGCTTTCGGACACAAGAACTTTAGTTCTAATTAAGTGAGAGTGATGAAACTTGGTGTATAATTTCATTACATCAATACCTTGACTATGTTCGATAATGAGCATTTTCTGCTCAGGGTAAGCAGAGCGATAAGCTATTTGATTGGCTGAGATTTTGGAACACAATAACTCTCCTTCTAATTGAACGATAATGTTCAAACTTGGTGTAGGTGTTTATTAGGTCAATGCCTTGATGGAGTTCGAGGATGAGCATTTTCTGCCTAGGGTAAGCAGATATAAGCAATTTGATTGTTTTATGCGTTGGGACACGATAACTTTAGTTATAATTAAGTGAGAGTGATGAAACTTGGTGTATAGTTTCATTACACCAATACCTTGACTAAGTTCGATAATGAGCATGTTCGGGGTAAGCAGAGCGATAATCACTTTGATTGGTCGAGACTTTGGAACACAATAACTATCATTCTAATTGAACTATAATGTTCAAACTTGGTGTAGGTGTTTATTAGGTCAATGCCTTGATGGAGTTAGAGGATGAGCACTTTCTGCCTAGGGTAAGCAGAGATAAGCAATTTGATTGGTTGATCCTTTGGGACACGATAACTTTAGTTCTAATTAAGTGAGATTGATGAAATTTGGTGTATAGTTTCATTACATCAATATCTTGACTAAGGTCGATAATGAGCATGTTCGGGGTAAGCAGAGCGATAATCAATTTGATTGGTCGAGACTTTGGAAACAATAACTATCATTCTAATTGAATTAGAATGTTCACACTTGGCGTAGGTGTTTTATTAGGTCAATGCCTTGATGGAGTTAGAAGATGAGAATTTTCTGCTTTGGGTAAGCAGAGATAAGCAATTTGATTGGTTGATGCTTTGGGACACGATAACTTTAGTTCTAATTACGTGAGAGTGATGAAACTCCTAATATAAATTCATTATATCATTACCTTGACTAAGTTCGATGGTGCAAATTTTCTGCTTAGGCTTATGAGCGATAAGCAATTTTTTTGGTCAAGACTTTGGAACAGAACAACTCTGCTTTTCATTGAGGTAGAATGTTTAAACATGGTGTAAATTTTCATTACGTGAATTTCTTGACTGAGTTCAATGATTAACAACAGTGATTGCTGATGTCGGGGAAACGTTGGTCATAAGCCCTGAACAACAGTGATCGCTGATGTCGGAGAAACCATAAATGTATTAATTCAATAAGCTGAAATCATGCAGGAAAAAACTATTATTAAACTGTAAATACTGGACGAGGGGAACAGTTAATATATTAATCCAATAAACTGAAATCAAGGCCTGAAATGTATTATTAGATTGTAAAAGTGGATAAGTACTGCAAAGTTTTAGCAGTACCTTGTTACAGGAGTATTTCCGGCTGCATGAAAGGTCATGTCCTCTGTATTCACTTCACCTGTGTTGTCATTTTTAGATTTAATGGCATTTATATACTATTCAAAAAAAGTAGGGGATATTTGATTTTGGGGGCATAATACTAAAATATGCAAATGACTACGAAAAAAGTCACTATAGAACCTAACAGAAGAAACATTTCCAGTTACATGTGACGCCCAAACGCACCAATAGCTACCGCATGGAATGCAGGTGATGCTTGGGATCATCATGGGGGTCCAACCCAAGATTTGCACGACTCTGACTTTGAATGTTACAGTCATTGTCGCATTGAATTCCATGGTGGAAACATCAGTTTAATTGTTTTAGTGACAAGAAAACAAATTTTGATATGCGTCGGCTTACCCAAAATGAAAGGTTACGTGCCCTTGGCATGCTACAGATCGGCACAACACAGGCGGTTGTGGCGCGGACGATGAATGTTTCTCAGTCTGTCATAAGCAGGCTATGGTCCAGATACCGTGATACACAATCTGTACAGGACAGACCACGCTCAGGTCGACCAAGGGCGACAACTCAAGCCCAGGATCGATTTATCCGTACCTTGGCCTTGAGAAATCGTGTCATCACAGCAAATCAGATCAGCGCTTGTCTTCAAACAGACACTGGTGTGAGAGTGAGTGGCCAGACGATTCGGAATCGACTGCATAGGGGTCACCTTCGCGCCCGACGTCCTCGCGTGATCCCTTGTTTGAGAGATCATCACATTCAGGCAAGACGTCGTTGGTGCAGGGATCGTCAACACTGGGATAATCGACGCTGGAGCAATGTAATGTTTTCAGATGAGTCAAGGTTCACTGTTGATTTTTTGGACAGACGTAGGAGGGTGTGGCGTCGTCGAAACGAGCGCTTCCAAGACGTTAACGTCATCAGACATGATCGATTTGGGGGTGGTTCTGTTATGGTGTGGGGAGGCATCACTGTTGCTGGAAGAACGGCTTTACATGTTGTTGCAGGGCGTGTTACAGGCCAGTACTACCGGGACAACATCTTGGCAGTCCAT